CGTGGTCCTTCTGTTGGTATCTGACTAGGCGATCTCGAAAAACTGTTGAAGATGGAGTTGGAGGCTTATGAGACTAGGAGGCGACTAGTTTATTGACCTTAAAATGGATCTGGAGAGTGTGGACCTAGCTGTTATCGTTTTGAACATTGGTGCTCGGGGAAACGGGACCTCAGCTGTATGTTATTATGACATTGTAAAGAGCTTGGATAATCACGTTCGTTAGTGTGACTAAAGTATCTTGCATCTGCAGTGAGTGGTGACGACCAGGTCCTTCTAAGTAAACCATGCAGCTTTAGCTGCGTTGCTTTTACGACGCATGATGCTAATGACGAAGGCAAACGGGTTGCAGTTTGATTGAAATCATTTTGAACGAAACGGAAGCCTATTTACTGAGGTTATCTGCCTGGTCTGCACATCATGGCCTCCTGAGGGAAAAGGACCAACGTTGCTCGTCCTCAGAAATAATTAGGAGGCACGCACAGTGTATGCATCATCAAGAATGACAACTAAACGGGCGGAGGTATCATTTCTGTCAGAAAAGTGGATGAAGTTGGTGTTCTTCTGCTGAACAGCTTGGAGGATCCAGGAATGGTGGCCAAAGCAGGATTCTTCTTTGAAGTTATCGACCTGGGTCTATGATGAATTCGGTACCACTGTAGGAGTGTTCGGGTGAGGTTGGACCGAGGGAGGGGTTCACAGTGGAACGTTGATGTGTAGGCGGATAGTGGACAGATGCGTACATGGAATGATACACACCATAAAATGATAGTCACAGGTCAGGTGACTGGCTGGAGCAAATGCAACGGCACTTCGCGGAACCATACTGAGAGGTCGTCAAATAACATACTACTGACTACGTACTTGTTGTGACTCAGTGTAATGCAATGGACAGGGTTCATACACGTGGCCTCAGGGTTCTCTCAGATATATCAAAGCAAGTGAGATAAAATAAGCCCTGTGTTGGTAAATAGGTGGGATGCTGCGAAAATCCGATGGGTTTATGTGCTGGAATTTTGTCGACCCGACAACGTTCTTCGTGAACCAGTAGAGTGTGTAGGACAAAAACCCTGAATATGGGTTAAAAATACAACTAAGGCTGTGAAAAAAAGGGGAAAACTGGTGAAAATTTTTGCGATAGGTGATGTTCAAACAAATCTTGTCGGGTGGGCCCAAACGTAGAAATCAATACTGAGGCCAGTCACGGAATTTTTTGCAAGGTACGTTGTTCCCTGTTGAAGCATAAGGTCACTCAAACAGAGGCTTAGTAAACAAACTTGATGAACGAAGCCATGGGAAAATTTAACCCAGCCTCATGTATGTCATCGACTGCGTTGTTTTTTCTACATAAACTCATGACAATTTCTTGGTGCATGCGTGGAACATCCCTCAATCTCGAATGACGAATTCATCAAGGTCCTTTCTTTGATGTCAGACACAAAAGCACTTGTATCTGTATTCCCTTCGACGCGAACTGTCTTCATCTTAGCTAAGTAGGAACTCGGTACTTAGCCACTGAAACAACTGAAGTCGTTTTAATGGGTGTTCATCTTATTTGAGGTAGGGCGAAAGTTCAACGGAATGCAACGGCGTTGTAATTCCACTGAGTCTTTTTCAACTAGAGCATTTTTGCCTGGAACTTTAAGCAGCATTCGTTAAGGCTGGTTCACCAAGGCTTACGTCACACGTTATTCTTAAACAAACCTCATGCCAAATATACTAGTCTGAGTTCGTTCTAGCTATGTCTTTTTTAGTTTCCCCAATTAGACTACTACCGTGGCGTGCCACGTGGGATTGCTGTTCGGAGTGTGTAGCTCTTGCACCGAGATGCTTATAGCTCCATTTCTTATGTCCATTTTGATTTTTATGGTATTACTTTAATCAACTTGATATTGCCTACTGTCTTGTGAACATATCGATACAGTTCTGTGGGTTCGGGGTGAGTTGCGTGGATTTCCGGTTGAGAATCCTCAAACATTTTGTTGACGGACGACAACTCGATGTTCCGGTTACTGTCTTATGACTTCTAAGCATGTCAATCGTGTCAAGCGAGCATCCATCAACATATACAAGACAATCAAAAAGCGACTATCGAACTCTCGATAGGGCAAAACAATTTACGCACTAACCAATCTGAAACAATCACCCACTTTGCAGCTAATACTGACCTTTAGAAGGTATGTAAACGCGAACAGAACTGGGGAGATTACCGACCCAACTGCACAGTGTGCCCTCTCACATTGGAACATTGGATATTTACAGGCCAGTTACCAACCTCTGCGAACAGAACAACTATCACCTGATCAACAGCCTATTTGCCACCATCTCTGAGATTCCTATGCTTATTCTTGCTAGTTCACCTGGCCTCATGGACCATAGATATGAGTTTGTATCACACTGCGAGCGCTTCGTCTCTACTCCCATCTTTGGGAGATTCGTATGACATCTTGAACAGAGACTCCGGGCTGACTGCTTTTGTTGCTGCTATAGAAACACGCTACCCCCGGAATAAAAAGAACACAAGTTAATACCGCTGTTGATGCTCGTGATGCTGACACTGGAGATTTTGGGCAACGACTTTCTAGGGTTTTGTTCTTGACGTCGTTTAGACGACAGCAGAACGTTTGACCGTGAAGCCCGTGTGACTGTGTCCGCTTTTTTTAACGCGATGTTGAACAAAGTCCTTTCAAAATACTCACGAACCATAAACCATTCTCACTCAACGTCACATAATCAAGTGATGAGCACCTGCCGGGAGGGGGGGGGACACGAGACCGGGGTTTCGTATCGCAGTTTGCACGTTAGTTTACTCAGCAGAACTTGATCTTGGCTTTCGTCTGCAAAGATGAGGACGACGTCCTCCGCGTAGCCCATAGGGATAGTTTTCACCAGCAACGATTTGAACACTAGAGTTTTGAATGCATTCGAGCATTGGCCGCATTATTTCATCGGAGGAATTTACAGAAGAATGGTAAGAGAGCGAACATCACCACTTTATGTGAAGGAGCTTGCACAGAGCTGACCATACACTCTTACTCGCACAGAAGTATCTGAATATAACGACCGGATTACGTCCACAAACTTCTTGGGTATCCCTGTTGAGTAAGGGTAGTTAGAAACACTGGCCGATCGACACAACTGAACGAAGAAACACCCGGATTTTAGGACGTCTGCACATGTGTTGCTCGGATGCCCATATACACATACATATTGGTACCTTTTATTCGAATTCTCACTCACATATGTGGGCTGATTATCGCATATCATTTGATCTGTTCAACAAATCTCATGTAACTGGAGTGTAATATTTTCTTACAGGTTTACCTTGATCGGGGTGCAGACACAAATTTGGAAACGACAGAGGAGCATAAAAGTTTCCAAACCCTGAAAAATCATAAAAATCTTCCGAAACCAACAGAGAATCTCAAAACACTCATGGCGTCTACCCGGCAAATGACACCAGACTTTGTAACAGATGCGAAGTGTGGGTAGAAGGCGGGATCCTAACTCCAGAAGAATATGGGAGACGTCGACAAAACGTCATGTTCATGTGCGTTCGGTCGGAGTTCCACCTTTGAAGGAACACAGTAAAGTCAATCTCACGACATCGGTCTCTAATGATGATGAGTGTTTGAAACTGGAAGTTGGAGTCGAGGTCTTTTTGTGATCCTATGATGGGCACAACGCGCATCCAACCGATGACGTCAAGGTGTTTAAAAGGGTCCAGTGCTGCGGTACTGCCGTTGAAACAAATGTTACTAATCGAGGAATTCACTCATTTGCAAGTCAGTTTGGTTTTCACGAAAGACTCAAATGAATCCTGAAACCAGAGATTCAGTTGAGTCTCTCGTGAAAACCAAATTGATTTGCAAATGAGTGTATTTCTCGAAAAGCGTCCAACTTGGGTTCAAGTAGAACATTAGGTTGACGGAAACTCGGGGACTGCGCCTACCTGATGAGCCATAAGAAGGGCGAAACCGGTCGTAAGCTGTGGAAGAGTTCCCAGCAACCTTGTGAGTAGTTTCCTTCGTGAAAGTGTTACTAACATTTAGTACCCACCAGAAAGAATAATCGCTTTCACTGAATTCACAATTGTTCTGTATTACCTAAGTAAAGTACCCCGGTTCACAACCCTTGTATCCTTATATGACAAGTGCCAAATCAGCTAAACTGAACTAGCGTGGACCCACAGTGATCCTGGAGTGCGTTTCGCCGAATGAAGCCACATTTTAATCGAGCTGGCTGGCAGACAAGGAAGGACCAGTGGATCATCCCTGTCCACTAAACCCGAGGAATAGAACAGGGTTTCGCCGTGACTTTTGGTCCAGTTAGGTATATCACCGTAAAAGGCAGATGCTTCAGGTAGACAAAAGTACAATAGACTGTTGGATGATTGTCGTGCTGTAAATGCTAAACGACGACTGGCAGTGGGTAACCCTTATGCAGAGGGAGAGGGGGATTACTGTGCCAAAGAGAGCTCGTTGGGACGAAAGCCAACCATCACAGAGTTGGTAGAGAATAAGCTTTTTATGTTTGGCGCAGCGGTAACCGTGGGGCAAGGCAACAACCCCACGCTTAATGACAAGGTCGCTCCTTAACAAGTACGCTGGAATAAAGGGGATACTACACGTTCATTGATCAGTGTATTAACGAAACGGCACAAACCAGTTGGTCTAGATATTTGTATCCAAAAAAGAAGATTGTCTCTGGCATAATGGATGCTAGCAATCCGTGGTTGAAAATGTCAATATCTTGTGTGGACTTCGAGGAACAGTCGGGTTCATTATGGTGCGTAGAGTGAGAATCACCACAGTCTGGATGAGAGCGAAATAATCCTCCAAACCTTTATTTATCGATCGATGGCGGGTTATTGTTCCTACGGAGTCTGGTTGAATGTCGTCATAGTAAGTAAGGGATGGCTGTACACATCGGAAACAGACCGAATGCTGCTACTTGCATGTAAATCAGAAAACAGCAGGTGGGTAAAAACCTCTCAAAATTGCATGACCGTGGGATGGCCATTGAAGACATGGTCAAGGACAACCTTCAGCTCTAATGCACAGTTGAAAGTTACCTGTTGCTTCAAACATTTAGGTGCAAGCCCATCAAAGATTATGACCTATCCATGGGAGACACGGTTTACGGGAGCTTTAAAACCGAGGCACACCAGGATGCAATATGGTTCGCCCAACTCTGTCAGTCGATGGGTGGATCGGACAGCACGTCAAGCTTTTCAGGGATTGACCAACCTCTGGGGTTCAGGCTCCTTTGATGAGCCCCGCGGGGCGACTTCTATCGTGATAAAATGTCTCGACAATCACGAGGAAGAATCACGGGCCAAGAAGGAAGTTATACCGTGAGAGAAACAAACTCAGAATGGGTGGCTCGATTACCAACCAGGGGAGTTGTGCGAAGACCATCTACCCATGCCCAGTGTGCACTGGATGCGTCGACTCCACTTTACAAACTTCGAATTGAACAAAGGAATGTATGCAACAGTATTTCCAAAGCACGCACCAGCATGAGACGCTCACTCTGCGAAGCACTCACCTAAGAATGGGAGAATGAAAGAATTCCAACCATAATAGGAAGGTAAATGAAATTTGACATATTTTCACTAGGTCGAGAGGACTGACACCTTGAAATGACTTAATCTACCAGGCTCCTATGCAAGGTATTTCACGAATATCCCACAGTCACGAAGGAAGACTATGGAAATGCAGATCCTTTTAGGCGTTTTAACACCTAAGTGGTGTCCATATAGCCATGCCTTTGGCAGTCAGTCGGTGGGAAAATCGAGCCTTTACATATTTCACTGTTCCACCGAGGTTTCTTTAGAACGAGTAAAACAGTGTCATCCAAGACCATAATGCGCACAAAACGGAGTAGGGGAGAAGGGGCATCTGTAATGAGAATCAGCAAGTGACCAGCGCACACAAAGAAGTAAGGCGGAAATCTGTGCACATGCAATGAAGGCATGCTAACTCACGGAACACAGGAGAGACGCATGAAAGAAAGCTTCTAGTAGTAACTGTAAGGGTATACAGATAAATTCGAAGTTGGCCGGGGGGGCATCAGAAAGATTGTAGGAGATAAAGCAGGGAAATGGTGGACAGTAGGGGATCTGGATAAACATGGGTGGTGGATAAACGAGGGGATGCGTTCGAGTAAATCGAGAAAGGTATAGATGCATTGATGGCATAAATATACAACCTTTTTCACGAAAAAAAAGATCAGAGGCGGCGTGAATGAGTTAACGGGGTAGCACAAACAACCCCTCCGCTGATTTGGAAGTGTGTTACCACTCGGGAAAGAATCACAATAGCAAATTTGAGCATTTATTGTCACCTTCGATGACCCGAAGCTGACAAGCATGCGCTGTGAGAACAGTATGCCAGGCCGGACGCAGCATAACGTTGAAATAAGTTCGTCAATCTATCTGGATGGGTGATCAAAGAAATGGGTTTGTAGAATGAACGGTAGTGTTCGAAGAAACGGCTGAAAACGGGTTGCTCTGAGCTGCGTTTGGGTATGCTTGGGGCCATTGTTGGTACATAGAAGCGTATGCCGTCGTTGGGATAGGTACCTTGGGATAAACCTGGTTCATATTTGGTACCGGAGAATACTGAAACAAAAATAAGCAACGTGTAGAAACGGAGTTGAAGATATTTCCCAAGGATTGAAGGGCAACAAACGATGAAGGACACTCACCCAAGGATTAGTAGGTCCCGATGCGGGTGAAACAGCTGGTCCTGTGAGCTGATTCAACGAGGCGGAGTTGCGCATGGAGGTCGTCTGGACCGGGTTAGTTGACGGCCGCAAAATCTGGCTAGTACCTGTCCATTTTACAGCGGTTACCGAACCGTCTGGAGCACGATAAGAGGCTGCAGGTGAGTCTCCTGTGACCGTCAAATTTCCAGCCAGTTGTGCTAATCTAGCATCGAGAGCGGAGGATGTAGGCCCATTACTAGATGGCACTGATGGTGCGTCGTTTTGAGTAGTGCATGTTGTCTCACCTACAGATAAACGTCAAAATGGGGAGGGGAGTTGAGGCATGATTACTTCATGCTAGGTATTTTTTTACAGATCATCTGACGTCAAGCTAGTGAAAATGAGTTATCACAAGACAGACAATCGACCGTAACCACCAGATAACAAAGATTGCGCGGTTACTAATGAGGGGCGTTCTCGTAACGAAACACACAGATTCTAACGATTCTCATCCAAAAATTAAACCAGGCACCATGTGTGTTCGACCGTGTAGGGTTGAGGGAGATGACGACGAGAGACAACAGGACCATTCCCATATTGCACTTTGCGAACCAGCTATCTGGCGATAATACATGACAACCAAACCGAGCTAGGAGAAAGAGAAACATTCAGACGTTGCAAACAAAACGGAAACGGAAGGCAGTCGTTGCCTGCTGCCCACATACTAGTAACCCCACCACAACCGTTCAAATCCAAAATTAGATAGCCGTAAAAGTTCAGATGCGTGATTGAATTCCGGTAACGAGTACACAGGTGATGAGCTATGACAATGTTATCGACGGAGATATACAACACACACCACCCAAGAATCAGACGCTAGCGGTTACAAGTTCAACCACAATAGGACCGAAGCGAACTGGACAACTTTTAGGACTGCTGCTTTTGAGCCTGTCTGTTCACTGATTCTCGTCGGGCCAAAGACTGACAGCTTTTTAAGATCGACCAATTGCTTCAAAGCCTGGTCAGGTTTATTGTACCGAAGGCACTGAATGGAACACGCTACATGTGGATGCGACATGACCAGTTCTTGGCCATCGACTTGCCATATTTGGTAAAAAAAAACAGTTACACCCGACTTAGGGCTGTCACCCGATTACGGTGGTCTTGCTACTGTGCTGCAATGATCCTGCGAGGTATACTGGTTGGAACTCATTTCCTGAAGGTTCAATCATGCCAGGAGGGCCAACGGGAAGCAGCCCGATGAAGAACAGCGAGTCCCCGCGCTGCGAGTAATCGTATTACGAGGCGGTCTGGGGGTGAAGTCGTACTGTCCTGTGCGACAGGAGTGTGAAGGCAGTAGGGCGCTTCCCCCAGGCGACCAGCATGTCCATATTTATGGAAGCAGCCATGCTGCCTTCCCCCAAGGAAGGACGGGCTTGAAAAGATGGGCCTAAAAACCGCACACTCCGATCGCCCAACGGTTGATCGTAACCGCCGGCGCATTATTCAGTATGGCCTAAATACTCTTAAAACCAGAGTCTGGTGCTGTTCAAAAGGCAACTGCTGTGCGCACCTGCACTAGGAGTGAGAGAGTAATGCCTTATTCTTGCGCCCTCGGACCAGGCCGGTTCTCTACAGCCCAAAGGCTATTGAGTCATTGGCTCCGGGAAGGGCCCCCCAAGAAAAACCCAACAACCGTTCAGACTATTGAGTCACAGACTAGAGGCAGGTACACGAACAAAACCCTACATTCTCCCACTGCTTTGTGGGTCAGACTTTTCGGTCAACGGCTCAAGGTGTGGTGCCTCAACCAAACTTCCTTCTTCGACCCGAGCAACTGGGAAGTATCATTTGCCCTTGAGGCTCTTCGCTCAGTGGCCTTCGACCACATTCCTTCCCCACACATCGTACAATGCAGTGCACTCAACCCATCTACCACTCACCTAACCACCATTCCGTGCCTAAACCTTCGCCAAGGAAAACAAACCAAAATAATCACTTACTAACTGCAAAAAATCTGATCCTCGTTGCAGCTGTCCATGTCCGTACTCTAGGTCAAAAGTGGACAGCAGGAATCCTTTGCTAATACCTGGCTTTCCCTGTCTGTCGATGTGTGTTGCGTCTCCGAAACTTGCATACAAGACCCCGCTTCGGTTGTGCTCCTCAAGTCGCTTAGGACAAGCTCAAATGTTGCACATTTCACTCTTCACTCGGGTATCCGGTGATCCGCATGCAATAACTCGTGGTATCTACCGCATGGTATCTATCTTCCAGCTCAGGGGCTGAAAGAGCCTTACTGGAGTGGATCCCAGTAAACAGTGTTTATTTGTCGTAGCAACATACTTCAGTTCTAGGGTTGAAGAGGACGAGTTTCAAGATATGCCACGACTGCTTCGGTCGGCAGGAAGGGCGGATATCGTAATCCTGGCGGGTTATATAAATGGCCAGTTTGGACGACTAAGCTCGGAAGAAGCAGAAGAAGAAGAAGAAGAAGAAGAAGGTTTGGTGTCGATGTTGAGCCTACAGATGATGCCAAGCGGCTTCTTCAGTTGTGTGAAGATCACTGTCAGTTCCTGGCCAGTACGAACTTCCAAAACAAACGCTCGCATCCAGTTACTTCGAGGCCATCTGTCGGGAGACAGTCACGGACTCAGTTGGGCCATGTGGTTATCAGTTACCAATGGGGAGCCCCAGTTAAGGATCATCGTTCGCTCTGGGGTAAGCAACCTGATTCCGATCATGCCATCGTGTGGGCCCGCAGTATAAAATGATGCTACAAGGCTGGGTGTGATCAAACCCAAACTTCATGCTTTCAGACGAGCCAATCAATGTGGTAGATAAATTTGTTTACCTGGGTAGCTGTAAAAGTCCCGATGGACTGGCTGGAGATGAGATTATTTCTCAAATCGGATAAGCCAGGGCAGCTTTTGCCAACCTCCGACACCGATGGCCCCGGCGTGACGTGAGTTTGCCTGTCACGGGCAGGGTTTACAATGCGGCAGGGCGAGACATACTGCCTTATCGTTCAGCTGCAACACCCTTCCGGTGCCTAGCTGCCATGCCACCCGAAGGAAGCACGAGGGCTGGGATACTACCAGGTTGCCCAAGCCTAGACAGGGGAATTCGAGAGGTGGAGGTCGGGTTCGAACCACGGACCCTGCGGTCAGTAAATTCGCGCTCCAACCACTTGGGCCATCTCGCCCCTTATAGATCAGAGACGTGGCCTCTACGCGCAGGGGACATATGGAAGATGCTAGTGTCTGAACATCGGTGTCTCCGAAGCACTAGTCGGCTCTGGTGGGAACATTGGATTAGTAATGTTAAGGTATGCCATATGGTCCTAGGAAAAAAGAACTCTACCGCGATAGATGAATTACTCACGCTTCCAGGGTTAAGCTGGTTAGGACATGTACCCCGCGTGCCAGAAGAACGTCTGCCTCGCGGAGCTCTCTTCGCCCAGCTCTGTTCTGAGTGGAAGTGACCGAGATGTGGACAGTGTATGATCTGGCTACGAAAACACTAACCAGTAAATTTATTCGGATCGGCAACTGTCACCTCCCTGGACGGGGATTCCGGGACTCAAATCACCAGTGATTAACAACATTGGCCCAATCGCGCAGTAGGTGGCGCCTAGCTATCCGATCCCCGAACTAAATGAACATCCCATGGCTTGCAAGGCTTAGCTGTCCCGTTTTCCAGTGATCGAAAGTGTAGGAGCTGGAGCCAATGTGCCAATGGTACACGGTTTGTAGCTGATCAATTGAAACTGAATTTGAACAACCGTTATATAATTCGTATATGTCTCTATATAAGCTTGACCAATTGCAAATGATGCTTCAGATAAACTGTCTTTGTTTGGATTTATGAGGAAACCAGGGTGCGTTCCTCAGTCCAGCTTTCAATGCAACACGAAAGCATGAGTACATTCTCGAGCAGAACGTTCAACAAAATACTGATTTTCATGCTTCGCAAAATGTAACCGAACGGTTGATATCGAAAATTCCCAACCAACTGTTCCAACATCACGTACTGTCAAAACCTACTTTACCGTAGAATGAAGTGTGCACAAATGATATGAGGCTTGTAGTTTACAGCAGTCTAGAGTTTTGGTTAGTCTAGGTGTGAAATCGTTTCCATGTGACCATCCATTGTGACGAAAAAAGTCGAAATAACTCAAGAATATCGACAAATACATTCATCTGAATATCAACTTGGTTTTGACGGGAGACCCAACTGAATCGCTCGTTTATATGCCTCAAATGAATGTGCTGCGCAAAGATCGCGTCACGTTTCAGTTAGTACGATGTTCGAGATACCGAAGTATATTTTCACTAAGGAAACTACTCACGAAGTCAAATTCTTGAACAAACAGGAAGGAAGACGAAGGTACTCAATCCTGAGGTTGATAAAAAAAATCAACGATGAAAAGTGACACATGAATGATGCCCGTGAATAAACTTCGCCTAATACAAAAACGGAAAGATTGGTAACGATAGGGTGATAGAACCATCGCAGAGAGTAAGATTGATCAATGGTCCCGGGGACTGGAAACTCAAAGCGATTGTATTTTGTGATATATGGGTATACCCTCTGCTTGTGTTTACAGTGAAGGTGGTATAAGTTGTCATCGAGAATGTGACCACAAAAAACGACAGCGCTGACAAGAGTAAGGTGAGCAGATACTCGGCAGCACGCAACAGCTAATGTGTTATCAGAGAAAAATTAAACGCGGTGCATGAGTGATACAAATGTGAGCGAGAAAATACACGGTTTGGACGATTACCTGGTACGCAAGTAGATGTTCGAGAGCAGAAAGCTGCCTCAAAATCGATTGACGGTTTGGCTGGATGAAGTGGACGCATAGAAACAACTGCGTGTGACCGCAAGTGGAAAAAATGACACTGTCGTTAGAATCTTTCGTATTTAGAACGAAGATCAAAACGATGCCAACGGAATATAAGCTAATCGGAGTAGAGCTGAGCTTTCTGAATTACATGGGAACTACTGTAAGTCACTGGATCCGGTGACGTGATCAAGAGAAAGTGAATCCTTAATCAGTGTTGTCGGGTCGCACATGATTGCGGGAATAACGAAATCGTGAGATATTTTTCATATGGACAAGGAACCTTACTGTATCTGTTTGTATGGATTTCATTTGGCTTTCAGGTGCACGGTACACTTCATAAGAGTAAGAACTTGATGACTAATTGGCGAGCCATCCCCATCGGAACACACTGAATCGATTGGACAGGACGGTTCAAATCCAGATTATGGTGATGAACACTGCACAACTGGTCGGACATACGTGAGCGGTACTTACCAAACTAACCCTTTGACTTTGTGGACCGTCAGTCAATATGTCAGTGTCTATGGAGCAAAGGTGTCTCCCATAAATTCTTGAGCCTCCTCAAGGCGCTCTACGCCAACCCCCGCGGATGTCTGAAGGTCTAGAGGAAGTTCTCACTTCAGTTCACCACATCATGTGGTATCAGACAGGGCTGTCCTCTTTCCCCTTCAACTTCGTGACTGATACGATTATGGAAGACTCACTGTCAGCCTCTAATGCCCGTGGGGTCGAAGTGCTCCCTGGGGTGTTCGTTCGAGTATCTCTTCTTGGATCTGATCAGGTGGTAATGCAAACAATGTCAAATAATCTAAATAACACTGTCCCACGGTTTGGCATGTGCTTCAAACCTTCAAAGTGTAAAGTGCTACTGTAAGACTGGGTAAGCTCGAACCCTAGCCTCATGCTTGCGGATGAGCCGATTGAGATAGTAGACAAGTAAGTCTACCTGGGCAGCTGTACCAGTTCCAGTGATCTCACGACAAAAGATATTTCCATCCAGGTTGAGGGGGGGGGGGGACAGCTTTTGTGAATCTGAATCACCTGAGGCGTAGGCATAATACCAACCAGTCTACAATGCTGCAGTGCGCTTCATATTACTATACGGATCAGAAATCTGATGGCTGTGGGCCGAGGATATCAAAAAGCTTTCATTGTTTGACCACCGATGTGCTCGGAGCATTACTCGAGTCTGGTGAGATCAGCAATGCTGAAGTCGAATGGTTTCGGAAGAAATAACTAACCCACGATAGGTGAACTGATCATACTACATTGGTTGCGCAGTGGCTTGGTCATGCGCACCATATGCCATTCGACCGACTTCCTCGAGGGATTATTTTGGCACAGCTGCGCGAGGGATGGACACGAGCCAGGGGAAGTAGCGAAGTGTGAAAGCCATTACCACCAAAGCAGCCGCGCTGGACATTACCGTTTTTCTGGATGGGGATCCCGAGACGGAACACACACGGTTAGAGACACACACACATGGTTAGAGACACTGTCAGACACGACCCTCAATGGAGCTTGTACATCCAAGATATCGCCGTCAGTGCACAGCTCCCTTCCCAATCTCCCCACTTATAAGTCCACTGACTCATCAATCCTATTAGCCCCCGTCTCCAATACACAGCTACCAACCCCACCTCCCCAAATCATCAGTGAACGAAACTGTGGTAGCTATAACCATTGTACGATAAGTACACAGTTCTTACAGCTGATACTGCAATTAAAGCTATTCCATTATATCGACTAACAGAGACTGTTATGCGCTCATGCGGGAAGGCGATAAACCGAAGATTAGGCATTCTCTGTTTCTTTGTCAACAGCGGGTGAAGTGAAACGAAACTTATGGTACTTCACTCAACAAAGCAAGCGAGATACTCGCGTAATTCGGAAAACTTACTGCTGTTGGATGGAAGGCCGAAAGGTGCGTATTGCGATTGGATAGTAGACCATGCGTTAACTGCTGGATGCAAACTGCTAGGCACGGTTGACGTGAAGGGGCCTGATGCAGGACTGAGTAAAAATGGGTTTGAAGATACCACGGAAGCCGGTGGGGGAGCTGAAAAGGGTGTGATGACCGTCGCAGGAGGTATAAATACATTAGGTTTCGAAACAGATCCGAACGGATCTGAAATGTCTGGGCCAGTGAGATCTGCAAATGGACACCCGAAGACGTTTTTAGTGTGATTACATTGAATGGCGCAGTCAAACGGGTTTCAAAAGACTGGATAGTAAACATTACTGTAAGATCCCGCCAAAGATAAAGAACTGGAGGAAGATGGGCTATAATAAACCGGTATTCGGTACACTCACAATAACTAAGTGAACGATACGTATCAGCTGGTGTCGAAAAAATCAAAACAAATGTGTCGATGGACTAACTCCTCTACGTGGTCAAATGGCTTCAAAGTGGCACTTAAATTGTTTGATTGAAGACCAGTTACCAGTTTCACACAACAATGCTCACATGGAGCCAAAGGACAAATAAGTTGACGTAGTAGAAACGGATGCAGAATTCCAGATCAGGTGTGGACTCGGAGTGAGATTTCGAGTGTGGGTTTTACTTTGAAAACGAAGTTGGTGTAAGTGTAAAAGCCGAGGAGCATCGTACAACTTTGAAACTTGCACTGCATATCCTTGTTACGCATCACCTGGTGAAACTCTTGGTCAATCCACAACCGTGACACATTCTGGTTGATGTTGAATACCATACTAATCGGTTATGTATAGTCCGTCGGTTTGCAGGGTGATGAACTTACGCAGTGCCAGTTCGTACAGCCTTAGCTGGCTCCCCCAAAGATGACTTCCTACATGGCCGGTTTGATTCGCAACCTTTTAGCCTTTCTGAGTAGGCTAGGCGTTATAATCTCTAACGAATTGGAAACAGTGCGAATGGGTGTTCGAGCAAAAAAAGAGAACCAAACACGGCAAGCTAATAATGCGCTCCACGTAAAGTCATCCACTGAGACAATTCATGTAGGTATTAGGCAGACACAATTAAACTGGGAGGGATGGAGTGTAACCGATCGTGCAAGTCATCCGTGCACCTTCGGACTGCATTGCGCCTCAAATGTCGGTCAGAGGAGAAAGTGACCACATATTGTCATCGGGTTATTTGGAACGACTGCGTCGTTGTTCTCACCCTCAAGCGGTATTTTGTGAATCGGTCAAATATCAATGTGCCCTACTACATTCAAGTGTGTGGTTACCCAACCTCGCGATGAGGCATTCAGCCAGATTTATACGAACGAACATACATTCGGCAGGCTTTCTTCTCAAACGGACCACTCCCCTAGCGCCCAAAAATTTTGAAAAGCTTGGCAGGGTCACCAGAAGAGAACACGACTCAAACGAGAGCTGGGCTTAAACGACCCAAGCTTAAACTCACCAAAACATTCATCCTACTAACAGCCGATTCCGTGGATAGAGTTAGTGATAGGCTAACCCAAATCACAATGTCAATGGCGCTTTTGCAACAAGATTGACTATTGTTTTCGAAAAAGTTTGGTGACAATCAACATTCATCTAACAGCCGATTCCGTGGATAGAGTTAGTGATAGGCTAACCCAAATCACAATGTCAATGGCGCTTTTGCAACAAGATTGATTGACGTTTTCGAAAAAGTTTGGTGACAATCGGTAGATTTATTGCTGGGCAACGTTTCGCTTTTGACACAAAAGCTTCGTCAGGCCAAGTGACTAGGTTCCGAGGTTGATCGAGATTTAAGGCGGAAGGAGAACCAATCAGCTAAGTCCAGCTAAATCTCTGTTGTGTGTCGGCCGAGGGATTTTAGTGTGTTAGAGTGGTTGAACAAGTGTTGGGTCGGTGGGGAAACCTACATGTGTTTGGGTCCTGCCTAGGGTCT